CTCAGTTAAAAACATGTTTTTGTTTTTGACTGATGTAGCAATTTTAAAACATGTTTGGACATGGTTATCTTATTCTAATTGTAGCTAAATCTGGAGACTTTGGGTTATCATGTTTTGAGCATTAGAACCCATCATGTGATGTGAAGGATCTACCCAGTTAATCTTTTAATCAAAAATCAATTTTCAAATCATCATTGATCTGAACGGCTAACCATTGATTCAGAAATCAGGGCAGCTTTCAGGTGTTGGCTAGGATCTTGTCGTATTGATTATCAGTGTTTTAAAACCCTGACCAGAGATTGAATCGTTCTCCCCTCTGGATTAATGGATCAGCGGTTAAATTTTCATGGCTCAAAAATACAAGAACACAGGAATTACCAGATGAAGAGGTCAATGGTTCATCCACCTGGGTCGATGGGTCATTCATCTGCTTTTTGTAAAATAGCAGGTTATAGGTTGACCCGGACCAGTATTTTGACTGGATACGGATCCAATTGGGCGGGTCACAATAGATGAACCCCCCAATTAATGGATAAAACTAAGGGAAATTTTCACTTTAGTTGATAGTGTTAAGTTAGTATCAAACTTTTAAATGTGTCACTGTATTTGAAAGTAATCTGTATTTAATTTCTTCACGACAAGGATTCCCATGGATTGATGGGTTGAGTTCCGATGGGACCTGCAATACGAACCAATGCCTATTTCAGTTGTTGCTTAAGAACACAATTTTTTTTTTTTTTTTATGTTTTATGCAAGTTATTGGATTGCTTTCCCTTACATTCTAGAGTATGGTCATGAAAAAGAAGCCCAAGGTGGTGACTTCTTTGGGTTTGGGCAACGGTGCTTCAAGAGTACAGTGACAATGACGATCACTTCCTAGCAATGATAACTCCGTCTTCTCCGGCGATGGCGATGGAGTGAAAATAGACTGATTTAAAATTTGGGAAATTTAAGGTTATTTAGATTAACGACTATTACTTTCGGACAGTTATTCGATGCAAAGAGAAAGGAGTTGCCGGATTACAGAACAGATGATAAGAACCGGTTGTTGAGAAAATATAGTTGAAAAAATGTCCAAAGCTTTAGAAACATATTGTATCACATCCATGATTAAGCATGTTCTAATATTTTACATACTTTGACTTTCTTTGAAGACAGGCAAACAAGGCAATTTGTATTTGTAAAGCATAGAAATTAGAGTTGGAGTTTCTGACGTTAGTTTTTTAGGCAAAAAGGAATTTTATTATGATACCAACCAAGAAGGATGAATGGAGAAGATCTTTCTCTTTTATGTGTATATTCAATAGGCTACAACTCTATTTATAATAGAGCTAATTATAATACGGATACAATAGGGAGACAAGGTCGGTGACCTAAAGAGGATACAATAAGGAAAGAAGAGAAGATAAGATATGTACAACTATCTCCTAGAAGGAAGGAGATAATGAAACTAATTTTGATAGAATATACTAACATCCCCCCTCAAACTCAAGATGGTAATGTATCAATCATTTGGAGTTTGCCAACGAGAGTACGAAAGCAAAGAGAAGAGTGAGCTTTGGTAAATATATCTACAGACTGATCCTAGGAAGGGACAGGAATAAGGCGAACAACATCCTCGAGCACATGATGACGAATAAAATGACAATCAGTCTCAATATGCTTAGTGCGCTCATGAAAGACGTCATTGTGGGCAATCTGTATGGCGCTACGATTGTCACAGTGAAGAGGGGTTGTAGATGAATGAGTAATTCCCATGTCATGGAGTAACCATCGTAACCATAGTAGCTCGAAGGTAGTGTCAACAAGAGCTCGATATTCAGCTTCAGTACTTGAATGAGAGACAACCGTTTGCTTCTTACTACGTCAAGATATAAGGGAATCTCCAAGAAAGAAGCAATAACCAGTAGTGGAGCGTCTATTAGTAGGATCACCGGCCCAATCAGCATTAGAATATGCGATCAAATGAAGAGAGGAAGAACTGGAGTAGTGAAGTCCATGAAACAAAGTGCCCTTGACATAACGGATGATCCAAAACACAACAGCATAATGAGTAGTGCGAGGGGCAGACATGAACTGACTCACAATATGGACAGCATACGCAATATCAGGACGAGTAATAGTAAGGTATACAAGACTGCCAACTAGTTGCCGATATAAGGTACAGTCACTAAGAGGAGTATCATTAGTGGCTGCCAAATGGGCATTAGGCTCAATTGGAGTGGTAATAGTCTTAGTATCAGTGAGTCCTGCACGAGAAACAAGATCAGTGGCATACTTGGCCTGAGACAGATAATATCCCGATTGGTCGGAGGAGACCTCAATGCTTAAGAAATAAGTTAGTCGACCAAGATCTTTCATTTCAAACTATTTGCTAAGAAAGGTCTTAAGAGCGGAAATGCCCTGCAAATCATCGCCAGTAATGATCATGTCATGCACATAAAGGAGGAGAAGTACACAACCCTAAGAGGTCTTTCGGATGAACAAGGCATGGTCATAAGTGCTAGATTGAAAGCCAAACTGACAAACAGTAGAGCTGAATTTGGATAACCATGCTCGAGGCGCCTGCTTAAGTCCATATAGAGCCTTATGGAGACGACAAACCTAATTAGGGAGATGATCATAACCAGGAGGGGGCTGCATATAAATTTCTTCAGAAAGATCACCATTGAGAAAAGCATTCTTAACATCCATCTAAAATAACTGCCAGTGCTTAGCTGCAACAATCACAATAAAACTGCGGACAGAAGTGAGACAGGCTACTGGAGCAAAAGTTTCCTCATAATCAATGCCATACTTCTGTGTGAACCCTTTAGCTATCAATCTAGCTTTATACCTTTCAACTGAACCATCTGCCCGAGTCTTGATTTTGTAGACCCATTTGCAACCAATCACAGATTTATCTGGAGGTCGGTCAACTAAATCCCAAGTATGAGTGCTTGTAAGAGCTTGAATTTCTTCTGCCATTGCTTTCTGCCATAGAGAGTCAGTACTAGCCTCGCAATAGGTACAAGGCTCATATAAAGATACAATGGTAGAATAGCAATGAAAATCACAAAGAATGGAAGGTTTAGTGACCCTACCAGAGTGACAGAGTGAAGCATTAGAATGAGCTGGGTCGAATGCATCAGGAGGAATCAAGGACTCAGAAGAAGGCAGAGCTGGAAGATCCATAGCCAAGGTAGATGCATCAGGAGAGGTTGTAGGTTGTGTAGTACTGTTAGAGCTATCAGATGAAGTAGTCGGACCTGTAGGTAAATCATCAGGAAAAAATGAGATAGTAGGACCAGTAAAGAAATGTGAAGATGTCGTGGTAACTCGAAATGGGGAGAGACTGGAAAACATTTTGTGTTCCCAAAAG